TTTTCCAATCTAGGCAATTCTGTGATTCTAGGTACCTAGGGATGTTCACTATGGTACTGAGATACGTATTCCCCTGTACTCCGCTCTCATAAAGCCCCACCTGGAGTACTGTGTCCAGTTCTGGAGCCCCCAACATAAGAAAGACATGGACCTGTTAGAAGGAATACAGAGGAGGGCCACAAGGATGATCCAAGGGCTGGAGCACCTCTCCTGTGAGGACAGGCTGGGGGCTGTTCAGCCTGGAAAATAGAAGGCTCTGGGGAGATCTTATATCAGCCTTCCAGTACCTGAAGGGGGCCTACAAGAAAGCTGCGGAAGGACTTTTTACAAGGGCAGTTAATGACAGAACAAGGGGAAATGGGTTTAAGCTGAAAGAGGTTTAGATTAGATATTAGGAAGAAGTTCTTCGCTGTGAGGGTGGTCAGACACTGGAACAGGTTGCCCAAGGAAGTTGTGGATGTCCCCTCCCTGGAAGTGTTCAAGGCCAGGCTGGATGAGGCTTTGAGCAACCGGGTCTAGTGGAAGGTGTCCCTGCTGATGGCAGGGGGGTTGGAACTAGATGATCTTTAAGGTCCCTTTCAACCCAGACCATTCTATGATTCTATATACCATCCCTTCATTCCCCTCTTCCCATGGCCTGGAAAAAAACAAGTATTTCCTATTCTGGCTGCACGATTTTCAGTACTTTTGACATTGCAGGGCTTGCTGCATCAGTTTTGTACCTTTTGAGATGCTGTAGCTGCCTTCTGTTCTGCCTGGCTCAGTTGTCTTTGAAGCCTATCGATGTATTCTCGATATTCCATCATTAGTCTTTCATCCTGTGTAAATGAAATATCTCATTCCAAATACAAATTTATTTTTACTGGATCCATACATACTGTAGTGAAAAAAGCTTAAAAGAAGAGAAACTTCAGAAGTGGAACTGTTTACCACTTACAATAAGACTGAAGACATACTGCTCACACATTATAGAGAATTTCCAGCTCAAATACGACATAATATGACTTTTCCAATCAGAGTAATCTGCAGAGGAAGTTTTACTCATTTCATCATCTTGAAGTAAGATGCATAAAAGCTGACATTTTAATCCAGGTAATTTAATTTACACAGTCTTACAATATAAATGTTTTAGCTATACTCAAAGGGAAAAAGAATATACTAGATAATACAAATGAGATTCTAATCTTGCTACAGGTTTCTTCTGTTCTCTTCATCAAAGGGAACACATAAAGTCTTTCTTAACCATCCTTTACTTACAGAAATCTATTCTTGCATCAGCTCAATTTTTCTAAATAATAGAGCACTACAAAAACCAACACAGAAGGACTTATCCTAGATAGAACTGGATATTATGGCAGATTTCTGAGGCTGACAGGATAGCTGTTTTCTAAAGTGGCCATTAATTATTGAACAATGCACACTCCAAAACAACCCTGGTCTTAATCTTTAATGGCTAATGCTTTTATCTATATGCATATATGCACATACAATGTAAATTCTACTACACACATAGTATGCTAAGAATTTGGTATCTCTGCATATGCTACATCATCTGTAACACAATGCCTACTCCTTTTTAGAAGTATGCATGCATACACACACAGGCATAGGTGACTTCAGAAACATTTCCTGAATTGTCTTAAATTACTAGATTAGTAACCTTGCAATATGATCTCTCCTTTACCTTTTATTGTAATTTGAGAGTAAAGTTCATTTGTCTTCCTGCCATTTTAACATGTCAGTCAGCAGAAACGGTGGGGTTCTCCAGTTATGACTACTCCTGTCAAAAATCTTTAATATTTTTAAACCAGCAAAATAACTAATCTAAATAGGTTTCTGTTAAGATCCTAGTGTGCATGCATCAGGTTGTAACTGAAAGTAGTTGTCATATCGGTCATTATCTTACCTCAGTTACCTTTTCATTTGCCATTTCCAGCTGAGAAATGAGCTCCTGGCTATGAAGTTTTTGTTGACTCAGCTCACTCCTATTTATCAGGAGAAAAGATGCTGATTAACACATGGTAGTGCATCAGTTATTGGAATATAATTTCACAGGTATATTCTTGCATTGTAGGGCCTTAGGGTGTATTTTTAATTACAGCATTGTTCTTAAACATTGATTTGAAAAGCACTACACAGCTAGCACTTCTTCATTATGTGTATTCAAAACTATAATGGCAGAGGAAAGAAATGTATTTGTTCAAATCAACAGGACTTTGCCAAGAACATTTGACATTTTACAGATTTTTTTCCTGTTTATTGAATCTTATTTTGCAGGTATGTTATCAGATATGCTATAAATACAAGCTGCATTTGTACAGTGCATTCAATTTTTAGATTAACGTTCTAATTAGTTACCTATATCCAGACTTTTTGAAGGTGCTTTGAAGTACTAAAACCAAATACCAAGTCATTTTATACTTGCGACACAGACAACAATGTAACATTTAATGAGGAAAAGGAAAATGTCACCTTCTTCAAAGTGGTCTTTTTACTTTTATACTGAATGAGTTTTAGTGATTCTAAATTTGTGTAGTTTTGAAGACAAAAAATATCTGGGTAATGGTAGACATCTTTGAATTTGTGCTCAAAGGAAACAGTTCTTGCCTTCTGTCATCACAAGTCACTGAAGAAGAGGGATGACCAAAGACGGAAAAACCTCTGAACTTTAGCCAGAGAAATATGCAAAACTAAATGAGCTGCTCTAACCTTTGATCAGTCTCTATTCCACTAGCAACACCCATCACACAAAATGGTGTAATCTAGATTCTTGCCACTAGTTTCACCTTTGATATGCCAAGGCCTGGGTAACAGGCCCAAGCGAATTGTTGACCTCTAGACAGACCCTGTGAAGATTGCATTTGCCATAATATTCATAGTGCAAACAGCAATATGCAACTTTTTAGCAGCCATCAGCAAATGCAATAGTATTTGTAATCAGTATATGTCTTCAGTTAGAACTGAAATAGATGGTGAAACCAGACAAAGATTAGTTGAGAAACGTGGTTAAAACCACAAGAATAAAAATACTTCCTTGGATTCGTCCCTGATCCCTGGCCAGACTTTGGGTGGAATCCAACTTGGAGGATGATGTGCCAGATGTTTCTGCACAAAGAAAAATGCAAGTCATCCCGACTTGCTGAATTTGGTAATAAAGTGCTATAAAGCTGGACCCCTGTGCAGCGATTCTTTGGTGGCCTCATCTGCAGGTGGACGCACTACGCAAGACTTCCCAATTGCCGGGGAGAGGTTCTCCAAACCCTGGCTGCTCCAGGGCACCCCAGCAACTGTGGGTCTGGATGATGGTAAATAGGGCAGTTGGTGATGTATCTTTCTTAACCACTACTGCTAACTTTATGTAGTAATGATTAGATGCATTGCCTAACCTCGTGTTGTTGCTTAGCAATATATTTAGTTTATTCTGACTGTTTACTGTGTTGTTTATTTTTGTATTACCTCAAGATAATCAGTAAAATAAGCTTACTCTTTTGGTTGGTGCCGGTGTCCTTTCTGTCAACCCCTGTAAACTGGCAAACCATTGAGCAAAACAACCTTCTATGTTGAGGTTCAAACGTATTTCTAATGAAGAAATTTCAATTCTATTCTCACTTTACCTTCCTTTCTCAAGTTGAAAGTATGCTGAAATGCAATCACCTTCATGAATATGCAGCACATTGACAATGCTCAGAAAGCTGATACCTAACCTTTAGGTGCTCTGCCTATTACCGAAACTACATGCACCCTAATGGAAGCTAAAGCCTTTATTCCTTCTGGGGGCATGGAGGTAAGGAGATACTTTAATCTCTTCATCTTAAAAACCTCTGCTATTTTAATGATGGCATTTAGTTCTCAACAACAATTTACTCTTAAAAAGTTTTAAACTTAGTATTTCATAAAAGTTTGACTGAAAACTGCTATATGGCACTTGAAATACAAGGTTGCAATTTATCTGTTAACATAAGGTTGCAAGTATACCTGTCTGGTAGTTTCCACTCCCTTGTTCTCACCCAGCCCCTTTAACCAATCCCAGGTAGATGCCATAAAAAAAGTTCAACATCTTTTGACTAGTTACTATAAAAATGAGAGTACAAAGGCAGATATTTAAACAATGTTAAACAGTTAAAATTATACATAGATTATACCTGTGTTACCAATGTGAACATTTTTAAATAAAATAAGAATTAAAGATGGATTAAAATTGCAGGATCGAGATAGTATGTTAATACTTAACCCTATTATTGCCCTTTGTCCTCTGTTATCAATATCAAGCATCAAGATGAAGCACTTTCAATACAGGAGCCCTTATGAACAGCTTTTTTTAAAAGTTCAGTGTTTTATTAGCAAAACAGAAATTTTATACAATTCCTGTCATATCTTTTCATAAATGCCTTTTCAAAATAAACTCCCTAGAAAACTATTCAAACAATACTCCTTACAATATGTAGACTGCTTATGTTCAAATCTAACTACGCTAGTAAAAAAGGCTTTGAAAATAAGGAAATCCTTATATTGTGATGAACCATCTTAATTGTTATGTCTTCTTAGAAGACTATCCAAAAAAAATTTTCTTAATTAAAAATTCTTAGTTACTGAAAACAATCTGTCTCCTATACTAGTACTGAGGTGTGGAATTAGCATTCTTAACAGTGCTGGCCATAAACAGAGTTCACATGCTCATATACAGCTGTATATAAAGAAATTATTTTTAAAATTAGATCACACTGAACATGTATTTAAAGTTATCAGTTTAACCTTGTAAGCATAAGGAAACATGATGGCTGTTGAGCAAGGCAGTGAATTAATTCTGTTTGTTAACCCTCCCCCAAACACACATTATGAGATTTTAATATTAAAATTGAGCAGTAACCCTAACTGCTGCATAATCAAATCAGTCCCTAGTGCCTATTGTCTTTGTTAAGCGAGTAGGAAACAAAAGGTGAGCTTTTAGCTTTTTTGCAGATGGGTGATTAATCTGCCAGCTGTAGCAAGTAGGTTCTGCAAAGCTCTCATATGACAAATTTAGCATGTGCCAGCTGTTTTTTCGGTTGAATTATACTATAATATGCTTCAATTACTCTTAGCAATTATGAATTTTGTATACTGCCAGTACCTGCAGCTGTCTCTCATCCTGTTATTTTTTTTTCTTTAATGAACATCTTAAAATAAGCAGCTATGGCTGCCAAATATTACAGAAGTGCAGCCAAGAATAATGTTTTAGAAATGGAGGAAACTTATTCACCTCAAGATGCTGTGCAATTCACTCAAGGTACTGTACAGGATGTAAGGAGAAAAAGGTGGCAGTCTTAGCCAACACTTCATACACAGGCACCAAAATAGGTCATTCTTCTGAGGCAGATTCTTTTCAGTTATAGAAAAGATAAAACTGAGAATGCCAAAACTCACACCCAGCTACTGATGATTCAGGGATTCTAACTATCACACAGAAATGTTTCAGAAGCAGAAACTGGAACAAAGACACCCAAAATAGATGCAATCAGATGACTTAAGCTAAGCAAAGTATTTAAATTTAAAAACAATATGGTGAGGATTCGCTTTTTGTAAGTACTGACAATTATAATTCAAGTGAATATTAAAAAAATTAATCCATTCAGTATAGTTGGGCATTATGTTACAACAAGTGGTTTTTTTTTTTCCCCAAAAATTATATTTTACTACTAGATTATAGTGGCAGATGGTTAAGATTATTAATTTACCAATTTGTTCATACTAAGTATTAGTATTAAATGTTATTACTTTTTTTATTAAAGAGTTAAGATTTTTAAAGCTCCTCAAATGCATCGCTACATGAAAGTAAGTTCCAAAGTACTAACCCTCTTTATCATTTAAAGCCAACATTTGTAAGTTGGCTTGTGTACTGTTTTGTAGAGTCATTTTGTATTTCTAAAAAGACAACAGACCTATTACTACCCCTACTCAGGCTAAACTGTACCTTAACTGAGGAATCATCCACACACAGGCCAAAGTAATATGCATAGCAAAGCTGAGAGAACTGTCAATTTCCCGTAAAGTTTTCAGGTGACGCTATCTACCTTTTTCCCATCTGCAGTGTTCAAGATCTACTCCACTGAAGGGCATGCTGTGGATAATTCAGTCACTGAATGGAATATGACCCTTCACTTATCAGTGTGCATCTTGTTCTGATCCCTGGTCCAACAAAAATGTGCTCTTGGTGCTGGCCACTGGTGAGGAGTCTGGTAAGGGTTTATGTAGAGCCACTGGTTATTAACCAAATTCTCTCTCAATTTACCCCAATTATTTTCTTCATTCTCAGGATGAGAACACAAAAATCTATGAAAAATACTGATATGCCAATTAGAAGCGATTAACCATCTATTGCTACTTGTATTATGACCTCTTTTTTATTTATTTGTTTAACCTATTAACATAACTACAGACCAGTCAAGATGGACTTTACAGAATGAATGAATAATCTACCCTTATTTTTTAAATGTGCACACTTTATTTTAAACTTTCACTTTATTTTCTTTTAGTAAATGCTGGTAGATCCAATTACCCTGTTTTTGCTTAAATTCGGTTGTCAGAACTTTCTCAGTCCTTCTCAATCTATCCTGTATTCTGTTGTTACTGAAGCTTTTTTCCTTCCAATTTACAAATTTCCTAAACATTCCTTTCGTATCGCTGATTTAACTTTCTATCTCTGCTGTCATGTATTCTTCTCAGCTTAAGTTTGAAAGACTATAAAGCTTTACACACAGTGCTTTAAGGTCATAAGAACAGTCCTGGCCAGTCTCCTCCCCCAGAATATGGGCACAGGAACCATTTTTCTAGATTATAGCACTTCAGTGAAAACAAGAGCCTTTAAAAATATGTGTATGTATTCCTCATTTCTTTCAAAACTAAATTCTTTCCAGTGAAGACAAGAAATGTAAAAGAAGCTGGAAACAAATGATACTATTATTTTACCACACCTGTCAAAGGCAGATCACCTAAATCCCTTGAAGTT